TGAAGGTAAGAGGAAATAAACAAGAACAAGAACTAGAAAGACAATAGAAGAAAACCCAGAGGGGTGTGTATATATATGCTTGGTTGTTGAGGTGGTTTGGTCATTTAGAGAGAATGGGTCAAAGTACAATGACATGGAAAGCATATAAATCTATAGGGGAAGGAAGGAGGGGTAGGGGTCGTCCTCGAAAGGGTTGGAAAGAGGGGGTAGAGGAGGTTTTGTGGGCAAGGGGCTTGGACTTCCAGCAAGCGTGCATGAGCGTGTTAGATAGGAGTGAATGGAGACGAATGATACTTGGGACCTGACGATCTGTTGGAGTGTGAGCAGGGTAATATTTAGTGAAGGGATTCAGGGAAACCAGTTATTTTCATATAGTCGGACTTGAGTCCTGGAAATGGGAAGTACAATGCCTGCACTTTAAAGGAGGGGTTTGAGATATTGGCAGTTTGGAGGGATATGTTGTGTATCTTTATACGTATATGCTTCTAAACTGTTGTATTCTGAGCACCTCTGCAAAAGCAGTGATAATGTGTGAGTGTGGTGAAAGTGTTGAATGATGATGAAAGTATTTCCTTTTTGGGGATTTTCTTTCTGTTTTGGGTCACCCTGCCTCGGTGGGAGACAGCCGACTTGTTGAAAAAAAAAAAAAAAACATGCATGTGTAGTGTGACCTAAGTGTAAGTAGAAGTAGCAAGACGTTCCTGAAATGTTGCATGTGTATGAGACAGAAAAAAAGACACCAGCAATCCTACCATCGTGTAAAACAATTACAGGCTTCCGTTTTACACTCACTTGGCAGGACAGTAATACCTCCCTGGGCGGATGCTGTCTATCAACCTACTACCTAGGGTATTTATAAGTATGATCATAATATAGTAAATTCTTACAGAACAATTGAAAGTATCTCAATGGCTTAAATCCCTTGTAACATAATTAACCCTTTCACTGTTGGTTTCATATTAGTATGGCTTACAAGCCAGTGTTGGTGTCGTATTAATACACCAAAATTCTAGCGGCTTCAAATTTAGCTGGAGAAAGCTGGTAGACCTACATGTGAGAGAATGGGTCTGTGTGGTCAGTGTGCGCAGTATAAAAAAAGTCCTGCAGCACGCAGTGCATAATGAGAAAAAACAACTGTGTTTTTGGTCTAAAACGTCGACTTTGAGGTGTATTTTCATATTGTATTTATAGTTGTATTCTTATTTTCTTGGTCTCATTTGATAGAATGGAAGATATATTACAGAAATAGAGATGATTTTGTTTGGTTTCATGATGAAAAGGACCTTGAAATTAAGCTCAAAGAAGTGGAAATTTTAGATTTTTGCCAATGTTCAAAAGTAAACAAATGACGTCACCGTTCAATACGTGTCCAACTGGGCAGTCTGATATGCAGTCACGAATGGGCTGACATTATTTATACAATTATTACAATAATATAGTAGTCTGCATAACAGTAAATCTTCTATTTTTTGTGTGAATGAAAATTCTAAATGGAAAGCAAGAGTAATATAAGAGGGGCCTGGAGACATGATGACTGAACAGAGAAAATGTTATTTTAGTGCCAGGAATGTCTGCATTGTTTATTCTAGACTATTTTGAAATTGGCATCTTTTGAAATTGTGTGAAATTGGCCATATTGCCAATTTCTGACCACTTTATTGGGTAATTGAAATCAGTAAATGGGCAATTTCTTGTATGCAATTGATAGAACAAATGGAGTTCTAGTGAAAAAGCTGTGAGTTTAGTCGACTGGAACAATGGAATTGGCCAAAAATAGGGCTCAAAGTGGGCAAAATCGCTGATGCCTATATATCGCCGAGACTGCTAACTTTGTGAGAGTGTAATTTCATAAGTTTTCTATAAGATTTCATACTTTTGGTGTCATTACCATCATTTCATGAAGATTTTTTTTTTTTTTTTTGAAAATTCGTTGACACTGAGAACAAGTATGTGAGCTGGGGTCTCGACAGTGAAAGGGTTAAAAAAACATATAATGTTAGAACATATTCATAAATCAAAGTCTTACCCTGGACTAATAATGTACCATAACTGTGACTCTTGTAAGATCTCACCTTGCCCTTTTAACCCCTTGACTGTCTCAACCCCAAATCCTGAGGTGTCTCCAGGTGTTGCAAAATTTAAAAAAAAAAAAAATTATTTTTTCTTATGAAATGATAGAGAATCTTTTCCCGATTGTAATGACACCAAAAAGAATGAAATTTGATGGAAAATTGATGGAATTATGCTCTCGTGAAGTTAGCGACCTCGGCAATATTTATGAATCGGTGATTTTGCCCACTTTGAGCCCTATTTTCGGCTAATTCCATTGTTCTAGTCAACCAAACTCATAGCTATTTCTTTAGAACTCTATTTTTTCTATCGATTGAGTTTAAGAAACTGCCCATTTACCGATTTCAGCTACCCAGTAACATGGTCAGAAATTTGCAATTTGGCCAATTTCACGAAAATTAAAAAATATGACAATTTCAAAATAGGGTCCAGAATGAACAATGCAGACATTCCTGAGTCTAAAATAATATTTTCTTTGTTCATCAGTCACGTCTCGAGGCCCCTCTGATATTTATTACTCTTGCTTTCTATTTTGAATTTTTATTCAAACAAAAAATTGAAGATTTACTGTTGTGCAGACTACAGCAATATTGTAATAATTGTATAAATAATGTCAGCCCATTCATGACTGCATATTAGAATGGCTACTTGGACATTTATTGGAAAATGACATCATTTGTTTACTTTTGAACTTTGGCAAAAATCAAACATTTCCCCTACTTTGAGCTCCATTTCAAGGTTCTTTTCATAGTAAAACCAATCAAAATCACCTCGATTTCTATAATATGTTTCCATTCTATCAAATGAGACCAAGAAAATGAGAATACAACCATAAATACTATACGAAAATAGACCACAAGCTTGTCATTTTAATTAAAAAAGATGGTTGGAATTTTTTTTTCTCATAATGCACTGCGTGCTGCAGGATTTCTTTATATGGTGCACACAGACCACACAGACTCATTCTCTCACATGTGGGCCTACCAGCTTTTCCCTGCTTGATTTGAAGCCACTAGAATTTATCAGTATATATACGTCAGAAACGGTGGCTCGTAAGACGTATACAGTGGACCCTCGACTAACGCTATTAATCCGTTCCTGAGAGCTCATCGTTAGTCAAAATAATCGTTAGTCAAGTTAATTTTTCCCATAAGAAATAATGGAAATCAAATTAATCCGTGCAAGACACGCAAAAGTATTGAAATTTTTTTTTTTAACACTTGAAATATTAATTTTAATACACACAAACTGAAGAAGACATGCACAGTTACATGACACTTACCTTTATTGAAGATCTGGTGATGATTGATGGGATGGGAAGAGGGGAGTGTGTTGATGGTCTTAGTGTTTAGAAGGGGAATCCCTTTCCATTAGGACTTGAGGTGGCAAGTCCTTTTTCGGGGTTACTTCCCTTCTTCTTTTAATGCCACTAGGACCAGCTTGAGAGTCACTGGACCTCTGTCGCACAACATATCTGCCCATAGAGGCCTGTACCTCCCGTTCCTTTATGACATTCCTAAAGTGTTTCACAACATTGTCAGTGTCACCATTAAACACTTGTTCAGGTTTCAGTCCTTCACTGTCTATGTACTCCTTGAATTCCTGCACATATTTTTCAGCTGCTTTTTGGTCCAAACTGGCAGCCTCACCATGCCTTATCACACTATGTATGCCACTACGATTCTTAAATCTCTCAAACCAACCTTTTCTGGCCTTAAATTCACTCACATCACCACTAGTTGTTGCCATTTTTCTAATTAAATCGTCATGCAACTTCCTAGCCTTTTCACATATGATCGCTTGAGAGATGCTATCTCCTGCTAGCTGTTTTTCGTTTATCCATACCAATGACAGTCTCTCAACATCTTCTATCACTTGCAATCTCAGTTTCGAAAACATAGTTGCACCTTTGGCAAGAACAGCTTCCTTGATTGCTGTTTTCTTGGCCACAATAGTAGCGATGGTTGATTGGGGTTTTGTGTACAGCCTGGCCAGCTCGGAGACATGCACTCCACTTTCATACTTAGCAATGATCTCTTTCTTCATATCCATAGTAATTCTCACCCTTTTTGCTGTAGGGTTGGCACTAGAAGCTTTCTTGGGGCCCATGGTGACTTATTTTGCAGGTGCAATCACTAAAAAGGCTGTGATAATATGAAATGTTCCGATTGTATGCTTGGAAGCGACCGCGGTGGCTGGCTGGCTTGTTGTAAGCAAGTTTTGTAAGCAATATAATGGTAAAAAAATTAGTGCAGTTATTGTGTTGAATACAGTGAATGTAGTTATACATTATATTGGTCTCACTGGCCACAAAAGTTACTGTAAAAAAAATGTTAGAAAAGAAAAGAAAAAAGTAACAAAAATGTAAATTAAAAAATGCAACTTTACGGAAGTCGATGTTGCTGCCACCTAGTCATTGAGGGTCAACTTCACGCCTCTATATCTCGGTAAGTACTGATTGGATTTTTTTTTGTTTTATTACCTTCAGAAAATTATTATCTTTAATTCTGTAAGAATTTTTTTTTTTTTTTTTCAAAAATTCTTGGACCCTGGCTCACACTTTGAGATGTGGCCTCTGAACTCTGAAAGGATTAAAAATATACCAGAAATGTTATAAATGGTGCAAAGGTGATATTAAAACAATATCAAAGATGGTTGACACAAACCCACTACTATTATAGCATGCTCCTCACTTAGTGATGAATTCATTTACCAATGTGATCTTAGGAACAGAACTCCATCATTAAGTGAGGAGAGGCTGTAATTGGTTAGCCAAGTCATTAATGTTTTGATGAAATTTTGTTCTGCATTTTTTTTTATCTTATCTCAGATGTGTCATAATTTACAATTTCTGTTAAGATAAATATTCTTAATGAGGTTACTGTATTTGGATTATGAAAATTCTTTTATATTTTTTTGTCAATACAAAGGAAGACAGTTTTTTCTGTGTACCAAGAGAGACGAAGATGATGAAAACTGATGTAAATGAACCTGGCTTAGGTAAGTAGGCTGAAACAGTACAAAATGGAAAAGTTAACTATATTTATAGTAAGGAGTAGTAATGGGTTTCTCTGAAATTTGTGTCATGTTACACTTTTGACAAGAAGAAAGTAAAGTGAAGTAATCAAAGTACCAAGAAAATGTAAAAATTATTGAAAGAGAAAGTCATTAGGAAGAATTTCAAATTATTTTAGATCTCACCTGTGATATAGTTTTCTTCTGTTATCTCTACCTTACTCACTCTCAAACCCTGACTAAGAGAGTTATGTCTAACATCAGTTGCTTGCTTGTTCATGACCTAGTCATGTTACTGACATGTGCACTGTTATGCTTTTGCTCTACCCACACTTATCCATTAACCTACTTATTCAGTCTATCTTTACTATTTTGAATTATGTACTAATAGGTGTTGTATATACTTTTAGTTTTATGCCAATGACATTTCTTATATAGCTACTAAACCAGCCTAGAATTATCTAGTAAATGTTTATTTTCATGATATTTTTGGGCCATAAGATGGTGTATGGTAAATGTGTGGAAGTAAAAAGAAAGATCAGTTTATTTTCAGTATATCTAATGCAGTGTTCTATTTGTAAAAATCATCATATGATATACAGTACTGAAGGGTTTGGCTAGTTTTGTAGTTTAACTTTGCCTGGACCCTCTTCCCTCCCAGTATTGGTGATAATTTTGTGATATTCTTATAGACATGTATGATATCCTAAAATGTTTAGAGGGCTACACTCCATGGTGAGCAGCACGTTTATTTCGGTTTTAATTGATATCATTTGCTAGTCCTGGAATAAGACTACAGTTCTTTTTGCTAAAAATTGCACTAAGTGAATTAAAAGTTTTATAGATTTTGTATTACAAATGTGATAGTTTTTGTCAGTTAGTTTCTTGTCTATAGTCTTTCTAGAGGCCTAATGTCTGAGATTCATGTCCTACAACTGATGTACTTAAGAAACAGGCCTTATTTATTATATATGTAGGCTTAAGATTCCCATCATTGAGATGGGCAGATTGGATATTACCACTTCTATTATTATTTCAAGTTGGTTAACTGAAAGCATAAATTAATAAAGAATTTTCCAGTGATTTCACCCCTGGTTATTAAATTTTTACATAGGTTTAAAAGGCATTACTTCATGATGAATGTACAATTTATAATATAGGCATGTTACCTTGTGTGTTAGTATATTACTAGCAGCCTGCCTGTGAGGCAGACTTGTGCTTCTGACTGTAAAGAGAATATTTACGAGTTCATTAGTTATATGCACTGATAGATGTGTGTCTCAGTGTATATACTCTGAGAGTTTGCCTTAATTCTTATTTTTGGCATTAAGGTTCCATGACGTTGGTATCTAAGTGGACTGCCACCTTAATAACCCTCAAGTAGATGATTGGCCTTAAACTTAGCAACATAAGAGTCTGCTCACATAGGCCTGGTGTTGTGTGATTGCACATATAATTAATAGAAATGAGTTTGTTTTTTACCTGTTTGGATGTGTGTGAATCACCTGGAGTTGTCAGTTTTTAATGTGCCAAATGTAATCACATAAAATCGGTATACATTATGTTGAATCTGACACTTTTTAAAAGTACACTAGCCTCTCATTTCTTATTTTTTAAGACAAAATAACTATATAATTATGTGCACTTAGGAATCCTTATAGGTGTGGCTTTTATTTAGCAGTAGAGATGGCTGTCACTTTTTTTGGGGACAGCATAAGATGCTTGAAACATACATTATGAATTTTTATAAAGTATCAACTTAATACTCTGCTTTTAATTTTTGGCAAAATGTTATTAAACACTTTTTATTTATTGTATACATGTCTTAGAACTTTAGGAAATATTGCCTTTTAAACAAATATAATTTAGGATTTAGGAGATTATCTTTTCAAGGGCATACAGGCAATTCCCGTTCAGTGATGAGGGTTGGTTCCAAAAAATAGTGTTAATAAATGGTATAAAATACCGACACAATGGAAATATAAACACGTATGCAGTATAATGTGATCCTTTATTGACAACGTTTCACCCACACAGTGGGCTTTTTCAAGTCACAAACAGATCTACCTGGGGTGGAAGGTACGCGAGTATTTATAGTCAGGTTCAGAATGCTGAGGTCAGGTGGAGAATGCTGCATCTGATGATGTACCTAGTGGGGTTTATAGAGTCTAAAATCTTGGGTAGCTTGGAAGGGAGATTGGATAAGTTTGTGAGCAGACCTTCTGCAGTGCTCTCCCATTCCTATGCTCTTATGTGGGATAGCGATGAAGAAGTTTCTTCGCAAGTGGTTCAGCTATGTTATAGAAGCCACTATTCTGGTTGAAGTTGTCGGATATAGAAATAAGTGATGATTCCAAGATTCTTCGGTATTGAGTGTTGTCTTCTGTGGCAATAAGTCTTGAGTTTCTGTAGTTTATCAAGTGGTTTTGTGAATTACGGTGTTGTACACAGGCATTCCTTGTATCGTCAGACCTGCTTGCGTATTGGTGTTCTGAAATACGTGTTTGGAGGTCCCTTGATGTTTCGCCCACGTATAATTTGTTGCAGTCATTACAAGGGATTATGTATACCCCTGCAGAGGGTGGAAGCTTGTCCTGTCTATCACTGGTAATGTCCTTGATGGTCGTGGTTGTGGAGGTAGATACTTGGAATGAGGTATTGGAAAAGATGTTGGAAACGTGTTTGGCAATGGAGTTGGTGGGAAGGACTATGTATCTCTTCTCGGCAGTGTCTTCTCTTTGTGTGTTGAAGATATTTAATGCCCGTCGTCTGCAGTCTCTGATGAAGTGACAAGGATATTGGAGTTTAGAAAATAATTGTTCAATTACAGTGCATTCTTCCTCAAGAAACTCATTGCTGCAGATTCTGAGTGCACGCAGGAAGAAGCCTATAATTACACCACATTTAGTTTTGGTGTCGTGGTGAGAGTAGAAGTGGAAAAGATCGTTTTGGTTGGTGGGTTTTCGATAGACTTTAAAACGAAGTTCGTGGTCAGCTTTGCAGAGAAGAACATCAAGGAAAGGAAGAGTGTTGTCGACTTCTTCTTCAAGTGTGAACTGGATTGAAGGCTCGAACTGGTTGAGCTTGTCTTGGAGAGCTTGAACGTTGAAGCGTCTAGGAGTTATGAGGAGAATGTCGTCAACATAACGGAGCCAGGTGACAGACGAAGGAATAATGGTGGAGAAACGTTTGGCTTCTAGATATTCCATGTATAGGTTCGCTAGGACCGCACTGAGTGGTGAACCCATGGTCAAAAATATATTTGGCTCTACATTACAGGTCTTCTTTTTTCTTTCAACACACTGGTCATATCCCACCGAGGCAGGGTGGCCCAAAAAAAAAGAAAAACAAAAGTTTCTCTTTTTAACTCTAGTAATATATACAGGAGAAGGGGTTACTTGTCTCTTGCTCCTGGCATTTTAGTTGCCTCTTACAACATGCATGGCTGATGGAGGAAGAATTCTGTTGCACTTCTCCATGGAGATAAGAGGAAATAAACAAGGACAAGAACTAGTATGAAAAATAGAAGAAAACCCAGAGTGTGTGTATGTACACCTACCATCCGACTTACAACCTGCTCAACATACGTCCACTCGACTTACGACCATACATTTGACAACTGGGCTGGGCTGGGCTGGGCTGGCTGACACATACCACTGTACAATATCTGACGATACTCGCGGCGACAATGCGCCATGCAGGCAGCATCAGTTTGAGTTACCCTGCCCTATCAGCAGCATCATATGTACTGTATTAACTGTACTAACTGGACAGTAAATTTCACCATGGTCCCTAAGAGGAAGTCTGAATTTTGCACTGGAGATTGTGGCAAGAAGGCAAGAAAGGCTCTTAGTCTTGAACTCTATTTGTTTTCACTGTTGCACATAAATCTGGCTGTATCTGTCTGCCTGTATATCTGTCTGTATCTGTCTGCCTGTATATCTGTCTGTATCTGTCTCTGTTTATCTGTCTTGTCTTCCTGTGTGTGACTGTCTTTCTGTCTACCTGTGTGTCTGTCTTTCTGTCTACCTGTGTATCTGTCTACCTGTGTGTCTGTCTTTCTGTCTGCTTGTCTCTCTGTCTCAGAGTCGCTCATGAACCAACAGGTATTACACACGAAACAGTTGTCACATCTTCAATATGATGCTAATATTGCTATACAGTTTATTTATTTATCACAATTCATCTAATATGACATAATAAACAATATAAATAACAAAAACCTGATATACACTCTAGAATGAATAAAATATGAACTTAACTACATTAAACTCCACATCTTGCACCTGTGCTGGTGTGCAGATACACATTAAAATTATTAAGAGTGTTATTTGTCTTGAAGATGCCATATTAATAATGATGATAATAACACAATAATAATCACTCTGAGGTGCATTAAATGTGTATAAAACGTTAATATAGACATTTTGCTTAATCCATCTATGATTATTTTCAAAATTATATAATAAACATGCTGTGTAACATATAAATTAACATAAATATGAGATGTTTTTCCAGTTGACTTGACAGAGTGAGCAAAAACCATTCGTGTCTGGGCTGGTAACAACAATAACAACAACTAGTTTGTTTACAAAACGCACGAACCTTCTACACTCATTCTCTCTCTCATTTATTCATTTAATCTTGTTTACTCACCTCTCACTGTACATTAAGACTACAGATATTTTAAGGTAAGTAATGAGTAAACACTATATTATAGTTTAATAATAATATTATTATTATTAATATTAGTACATACGTATTATTGTAATAATAATACGTAATAATAATTATTAATATTATTATTAATTTAGGGCACTGGAGCACAGATCCACTGTATAGCACTTTGTCTGGATTTTTGGGGTTATCCTAGGTAATTTATACTATGTATGATAACTTTACTTACGTGTACCTGTGTGTGTGTGTGTGTGTGTGTGTGTGTGTGTGTGTGTGTGTGTGTGAGAGTGTGTGAGAGTGTGTGAGAGTGTTTGAGAGTGTGTGAGAGTGTGTGAGAGTGTGTGAGAGTGTGTGAGAGTGTGTGAGAGTGTGTGAGAGTGTGTGAGAGTGTGTGAGAGTGTGTGAGAGTGTGAGAGTGTGTGAGAGAGTGTGAGAGAGTGTGAGAGAGTGTGAGAGTGTGTGAGAGAGTGTGAGAGAGAGAGAGTGAGAGAGAGAGAGAGAGTGTGAGAGAGAGAGTGTGAGAGAGAGAGAGAGTGTGAGAGAGAGAGAGAGTGTGAGAGAGAGAGTGTGAGAGAGAGAGAGAGAGAGTGTGAGAGAGAGAGAGAGAGAGAGAGAGAGAGAGAGAGAGAGAGAGAGAGGAGAAGAAGAAGAAGAAGAAGAAGAAGAAGAAGAAGAGAGAGAGAGAGAGAGAAGAGAGAGAGAGAGAGAGAAAAGAGAGAAGAGAGAGAAAAGAGAGAAGAGAGAAGACAGACAAGACAGACAGACACAGATGGAGAGAGATCCAAATTCAGTCAGGCAGGCAGCCAACCACCCACCTACCCGGCCGGCCTGCTAGCCAGCCAGCCAGCCGAATACGTATTACACATGTTTCAGAGTTGTTTCTCTTTACTTAGGGCATAGGTTATAGGACATTCTGCCAGGATGACACTACCAGTGGTATTCTCCCATTCCACTGTGTCGACAATACTTAAAGATAACAGTAACATACGATACTGTATGGGATGTAAAATTTGCAATACAGTTCACTACCATGTATACATAATATACAGTACATAAATTATTAAAATATATCAATATTAAAATATATCAATGCTAAAGTGGGTAAAAATGTTATGGAGGGAGTAGTAGGTAAATTTGGGGTGCCAGGGGTAAATGTAAATGGGGAGCCTTTAATTGAGCTATGTGTAGAAAGAGATTTGGTAATAAGTAATACATATTTTATGAAAAAGAGGATAAATAAATATACAAGGTATGATGTAGCACGTAATGAAAGTAGTTTATTAGATTATGTATTGGTGGATAAAAGGTTGATGGGTAGGCTCCAGGATGTACATGTTTATAGAGGGGCAACTGATATATCGGATCATTATTTAGTTGTAGCTACAGTTAGAGTAAGAGGTAGATGGGAAAAGAGGAAGGTGGCAACAACAAGTAAGAGGGAGGTGAAAGTGTATAAACTAAGGGAGGAGGAAGTTCGGGTGAGATATAAGCGACTATTGGCAGAAAGGTGGGCTAGTGCAAAGATGAGTAGTGGAGGGGTTGAAGAGGGTTGGAACAGTTTTAAAAATGCAGTATTAGAATGTGGGGCAGAAGTTTGTGGTTATAGAAGGGTGGGGGCAGGAGGAAAGAGGAGTGATTGGTGGAATGATGAAATAAAGGGTATGATAAAAGAGAAAAAGGTAGCTTATGAGAGGTTTTTACAAAGCAGAAGTGTTATAAGAAGAGCAGAGTATATGGAGAGTAAAAGAAAGGTAAAGAGAGTGGTGAGAGAGTGCAAAAGGAGAGCAGATGATAGAGTGGGAGAGGCACTGTCAAGAAATTTTAATGAAAATAAGAAAAAAAATTGGAGTGAGTTAAACAAGGTAAGAAAGCCTAGGGAAAGTATGGATTTGTCAGTTAAAAACAGAGTAGGGGAGTTAGTAGATTGGGGAGATGGAGGTACAGTGGACCCCCGGTTAACGATATTTTTTCACTCCAGAAGTATGTTCCGGTGCCAGTACTGACCGAATTTGTTCCCATACGAAATATTGTGAAGTAGATTAGTCCATTTCAGACCCCAGACATATACGTACAAACGCACTTACATAAATACACTTACATAATTGGTCACATTCGGAGGTAATCGTTATGCGGGGGTCCACTGTATTAGGTAGATGGCGAGAATATTTTGAGGAACTTTTAAATGTTAAGGAAGAAACAGAGGCAGTAATTTCATGCACTGGTCAGGGAGGTATACCATCTTTTAGAAGTGAAGAAGAGCAGAATGTAAGTGTGGGGGAGGTACGTGAGGCATTACGTAAAATGAAAGGGGGTAAAGCAGCTGGAACTGATGGGATCATGACAGAAATGTTAAAAGCAGGGGGGGATATAGTGTTGGAGTGGTTGGTACTTTTTGTTTAATAAATGTATGAAAGAGGGGAAGGTACCTAGGGATTGGCGGAGAGCATGTATAGTCCCTTTATATAAAGGGAAAGGGGACAAAAGAGACTGTAAAAATTATAGAGGAATAAGTTTACTGAGTGTACCAGGAAAAGTGTACGGTAGGGTTATAATTGAAAGAATTAGAGGTAAGACAGAATGTAGGATTGCGGATGAGCAAGGAGGTTTCAGAGTGGGTAGGGGATCTGTAGATCAAGTGTTTACATTGAAGCATATATGTGAACAGTATTTAGATAAAGGTAGGGAAGTTTTTATTGCATTTATGGATTTAGAAAAGGCATATGATAGAGTGGATAGAGGAGCAATGTGGCAGATGTTGCAAGTATATGGAATAGGTGGTAAGTTATTAAATGCTGTAAAGAGTTTATATGAGGATAGTGAGGCTCAGGTTAGGGTGTGTAGAAGAGAGGGAGACTACTTCCCGGTAAAAGTAGGTCTTAGACAGGGATGTGTAATGTCACCATGGTTGCTTAATATATTTATAGATGGGGTTGTCAAGGAAGTAAATGCTAGGGTGTTCGGGAGAGGGGTGGGATTAAATTTTGGGGAATCAAATTCAAAATGGGAATTGACACAGTTGCTTTTTGCTGATGATACTGTGCTTATGGGAGATTCTAAAGAAAAATTGCAAAGGTTAGTGGATGAGTTTGGGAATGTGTGTAAAGGTAGAAAGTTGAAAGTGAACATAGAAAAGAGTAAGGTGATGAGGGTGTCAAATGATTTAGATAAAGAAAAATTGGATATCAAATTGGGGAGGAGGAGTATGGAAGAAGTGAATGTTTTCAGATACTTGGGAGTTGACGTGTCGGCGGATGGATTTATGAAGGATGAGGTTAATCATAGAATTGATGAGGGAAAAAAAGGTGAGTGGTGCGTTGAGGTATATGTGGAGTCAAAAAACGTTATCTATGGAGGCAAAGAAAGGAATGTATGAAAGTATAGTAGTACCAACACTCTTATATGGGTGTGAAGCTTGGGTGGTAAATGCAGCAGCGAGGAGATGGTTGGAGGCAGTGGAGATGTCCTGTTTTAGGGCAATGTGTGATGTAAATATTATGCAGAAAATTCAGAGTGTGGAAATTAGGAAAAGGTGTGGAGTTAATAAAAGTATTAGTCAGAGGGCAGAAGAGGGGTTGTTGAGGTGGTTTGGTCATTTAGAGAGAATGGATCAAAGTAGAATGACATGGAAAGCATATAAATCTATAGGGGAAGGAAGGCGGGGTAGGGGTCATCCTCGAAAGGGTTGGAGAGAGGGGTAAAGGAGGTTTTGTGGGCAAGGGGCTTGGACTTCCAGCAAGCGTGTGTGAGTGTGTTAGATAGGAGTGAATGGAGACGAATGGTACTTGGGACCTGACGATCTGTTGGAGTGTGAGCAGGGTAATATTTAGTGAAGGGATTCAGGGAAACTGGTTATTTTCATATAGTCGGACTTGAGTCCTGGAAATGGGAAGTACAATGCTTGTACTTTAAAGGAGGGGTTTGGGATATTGGCAGTTTGGAGGGATATGTTGTGTATCTTTATATGTGTATGCTTCTAAACTGTTGTATTCTGAGCACCTCTGCAAAAACAGTGATAATGTGCAAGTGTGGTGAAAGTGTTGAATTATGATGAAAGTATTTTCTTTTTTGGGATTTTCTTTCTTTTTTGGGGCACCCTGCCTCGGTGGGAGATGGCCGACTTGTTGAAAAAAAAAAAAAAATATCAATAGAAGTAAATTATGGTAAAAAGAATGAAATAATGATTGTACATTACATTACAGTACTATGTAGGTAGTTCATATAGCAAAGGTTTGACATTGTGCCCTACCCAGTATGTTGGCGATTTTCAAAGGTTCGGCTTACGTCCATTTTGACTTACGACCAGTTGGTCGGAACCAAGCTCGGTCGTAAGTCAGATGGTACTTGTATATGCTTGTACATGCATGCGTAATACGACTTAAGTGTAAAGAGAAATAGCAAGACATACCTGAAGCCTTGCACATTTATGAGACAGAAAAAAGACACCAGCAATCCTACCATCATGTAAAACAATTACAGGCATCCATTTTACACTCACTTGGCAGGATGGTAGTACCTCCATGGGCAGCTGCTGTCTACCAACCTACTACCTAGGTAAATTGCAGGTACATTATGCAGAAGTCATCAGCACTCACCAAATACAGATAAGCATGCTGCATGCTGTGGTGTTGTTAAGAAACATGAAATTTTTTGAGCAATGAGTGGTGGTGATGCTTGTGGTGGTGACGATGCTTGTGGTGGTGGCAGTGCTTGTGGTAGTGGCGATGCTTGTGGTAGTGGCGATGCAGGTGGTGTTCCCCAGCTCTATTTATATTAGTTATCTGAAGAATCCTTGCAGTTAAAATGGAAATAACCAAGTTTGATGTACTGTACATTTAACACCTGTGGGGTGTATCTGTCTTCTCTAGGTATCTTTAGCAAAGTGAAATGCTGCATACCATGGCTGTGGGAAATGTGATGAAATTTTTGTGATAGATGAATGGTGGTGTTCATTGAAATGGCCTTACAGGTATTATTGTTCTCATGCATTATCCAGCTCTTGTTATTCAAGAGGATGCAACTTGGTTTCATTTACATTGAATACTTGTGGTGCATAACCACCTTCTTCATTTGTATCCTCATCAAAACAGGATGCTGCATGTTTTGGCTTGGGAAATGTGTGTGTGTGTGAGATTGAGGGGAGGGGAACCATTGATGTTTAAGTGCCACTCTGCTTGTGATTGCAGCCACACTTAAATACAATTCATTCCTACTATCCACCCATATTGATCAATTTCAGCTACACTTACCATTGTCTGAAGCCAGAATCTTTATTTATTTAAAGCAAATGGTAGATAAATATGTGAAAAGATACATGGTTATATCCATTCCTTGTAATTCTCAGCTGGAAACCAAAACTGATAAATGAAGCTAGTGTGTATTTATTATGCAGTTTTTTACTGATTTCATCACTGGTTTCACTGTTACAATGATGGATGGGAACATGTTAAGCGGGGGTTGCCTGTATCATAAACAATGTTGGTAGTATTTTTATGAGAGTTCCAAATTGTTGGATAAAGGTTGTCTATTGATTTTGCCCAAACTATGCAGTAAAGCTGTGACCTGCACATATTAATACAGTAAATTATTATAACTTTAGTGCTATATTTGAGCACAAACTTATAGATCATTGATTTTCTTAATATTATGAGAGGATGACCATTATGTTTTTTACAAGGACTAAGTATTATGATGAGTTCTGGTTCAATGTATAATAGTACTGGCTTATCCCTTGAGCAGTGTTTGTCTTTGTTACAAGTCGATGTTTTGCCAGTGAGTGTCATCTCTCTGTCCATCTCCACCATGAATGTCTTTTTGATGAAGTTTGTAGAATGACATCTGCGGTGTTTATTTGTATATATATTATACGCATATTCTTTGACTGTTAAATGTGTCTTGCAGAGATTTGTACTTGCCCTTATCTTTGTACTTTTCATGGACATTATCCTTTATGGGGTCAGTGGTGGGTAGGAAAATAAGGGAGCTGAAGGTAATTACCAACGTATGAATAATAATCTTCCTGAATCCACTGTTGATGACCCCTGCACACCTACAGACTCTCCTTGAAACTTGGTATCACTCTCAGGCAATCCTTTGTCACTTGAGCCAGATACTGCAATTCACCCTGACTCCTTTGATACGTCTGACCTTTGCTCTACTTTGAACCTGATCTGGCGTCTCTCACGACACAGTGTTGATTTTTAGATCATTTGCATGTCACAGGACGAAATAGCTTGTCACATACTAGATAATCCTGTTTCTATAACTGACATAACTTTCCACTCTCTTCCTAAGAAACACACTACATGGAACTATCGTCTTCTTCCTACAAGATGTATTTCAAAGACAGTTTTGGGTGAAATTCTTTTCCCTACACCTGACTACATCTACAGAGATTACCTTACAGACCAAAGCATTGTCCAAACACTCATGAGACATGTTGGTCAAAGTGTATCATTCCTTGCCCTCGAGAGTGAGATGAGTATTGTCACCTTCAATGACTCAGAACAGGTTGACAACCTTTCCTATATACCCCTCTGTTGACAACATCCCAGTCTTGGTATGTCCTCAGTTCAAGCTCTGGGACTGTCCTCATCCCACACTATAATCCAGCAATGGGGCCTGGACCTTCATGAACAACTTGAACTCCAAAACCTCCCAGTCACTAGAGTAGAAACTTATGTCTGCCGTCTGAGGTCCGACATATTATCCGACCAATATTTCTAAATTGTCCTTTGAATATCTAACAAGTACAGAACTGTACTCTGTTTCCTTTGCTTCGGGATGGGATACATTGTGTTCTGCTTTGGTCTTTACAAGAGTGCAGTCTGTCTTATAAGGCTGACACTGTTAAAAGTATTGTGCGACCCCAGACAGTTTCCATAGCATAGTGCAGCAGTCTGTCATAAGTCTTGGGCATGGCCTACCCCTCTGCAAACCACCCTTATATGCCCAATTTTTTTTTGCATTTCATATGTCTCACAGGTGCTGGTTGATATTACTGGATAAATAGTCTTGCATGCTTACAAACAAGGACTTCCTGTTAATTAAGTGACTCACAAAGTTCATTACTGTTAATCAGTTTCTAATGTTTTTGGCATTCTTGTGAATAACACACTGTGACTTGAAGTACAGTAAACCTTTGATATAATAAACCTCAGTATAATGTATTTTTAAAATAATGGGGAAAATCCTCTATATAAAGTGCACATTTAACTTCTTTATTTTCAGTGTTTATTGCAGGACAATGGTAAATTATATGGACACTACTGTATTAGGAATTTTTTCCTCATGCTTTTCCTGGTAATTGTAATTGTCTTCTATTTCCTGGCAAGTAGCCATCTTCCATCACTTTGTCATCCTTCTCTGTCTTTGTCCTGTTCATGTGGATGTTTACTTGCATTCATCTCATGGGTGGCCATGTTTTGGAGTACATAAATAGAATTAACGTTGTTTGTAAGAGCAGGAGAAGCCTAACTACACTGACTGGAGCTACAAGCCAAGTTTCTTCCTTTCTCTTGTTAACACAGTAGTAGTTCTCAGGAGTTCAACTACTGGCATCCTGTATACTTAAATCTTGTCTTTCTTTCAATAATAGTTTTATATTTTCTTGTATGTGTGTATAATTTATTCTCAAGTGGGGGAGGCTTTATTATTATGCATTAGAATGAATTTAGATTTTAGATATCTTTAATATTAAAATAAATACCAGTACACAAATGCACTTACTGATTCTCAGTTATTTGAATGGCAACCTCTCAAGCAAGTAAAAATCTTTTATGCATTAAGCTGACCTTATAACTAAAGGTAAAATGATGAGTGATGGTGAAAGTATTGCTTCTGTTTTTGATCACCCTACCTCGGTAGGAAACAGCTGGTGCGTTAAAATAAAAAAATGCAGATATTATGTAGCACGTAGTGTTGTAGTGCTGTGTATAGCTTCAGGTGTAGTGCACTTCTGATGCGATTAACCATATGTCTTTTTGAATAACTTCTGCTGTAATAGTGTGTAACAGAATTGAATTCAGAATTGTTCTCTGTAATACTGTATTTTATTATTATTATTATTATTACTATAATTATAATTGTTATTATGTATTTTATAAATATTGCTAAGGTTCCATCCATTTCATTTATATACAGTATTCTAAAAAAAAATATTAGCTAATTAATTACTTGTATTAACTATGGTAATTTTAGTTTATGACCTGCATGGGTTTGGCACATTTCTTGTGAATAGCAACTGATGTTAACAAAAGAGATATTTTGGTTAACATTTTAATTAGTAAAAAAAGGCATTGGTTAAAATATCCAACAAAATTCTTATGCAATTGTTTTTATAAACCCAGCTGGTCTGTTTATTTCTGTCAGTCATTAATTCTAACAGTATTGCTTACATATAAGGGAAGATTTTCTGCTAATTCTGTACTGTACTTTATTATTCTACTACAGGTCTACTAAACTAGTGATGAATTGTGTGTCTTTAATTAAGTACTACAGTGAGGGCGAATATGTTTGGTACTACAATATTTGATAATATCCACCTCAGTCACACCTAGCTGTTGTATGCAGGTCTACACAACTTTTGATGCCAAGTGAACCTAATCATTACCTGTCCTAGTAAAAGTCATACATACTGGTCATACCTTGTTACTTGTTAAATGACTCACCTTTTAGAAAAGCTAAATATCACTGACCTATTCAGTGGAGTGATTGGGATTCAATCCTAGGAGTTTGGAATTACCAGCCAGTTACCTTCATCACCTGCACCGTGGAGGATCATGGATTAGGCAATGGGCAAGTAATCCCAGACAACAGATTTTAATCTCGATCACTCTTGAATTACTACATGCAGCCATTGAATCCTACCTAAGTAGCAGCCTTGAGGACAATATAATGATGTTTATAAACCCAAGATAAGGCACAATGAACAACTGTCAATGAAAAAACAGAATACTGGGTGGACCAGGTACTATCTGCCTGGTATGTACACGGACCATGGTTTGGGTTTCTGTCCAGTATTCTGTTTATTCATGTAGCAGTGTGTTTACCTTAACATTACATTTATTTATATATCTTACTAGAACATAATCATATGAGTTGACCATGACCATGTTACTAGACTGTGATCATATTATAGCATAGTCATGTTGCTAGACCATGACTATGACTGGATAACATGACAAAACCATGTGACTAGACCACATGACTATACACTAACCATACAACTAGACCCTATGTCTAGACACTAACGATGTGTCTAGACCACATGATTAGACACTAACCATGTGACTAAATCCTGATCATGTGACTGTATTGTATTAAGTAAGTGAACACATCTGCATGACATAATGCACTCATTATTCCTTGTTAAACTTTCAGTTTTTAGTTAAATTTATTGTAATTACAAACATACACATGAATTAATGAAATACTGCAAATATATAGTACTGTCATAGAAAGACATTGATTATTACAGTAGAACCTCATTATTTGAGTGTAAAGTGATATAGAGTAAGTTGTTAAATATAATATGGGATATTGAAGTTGAATACTGTAGGTTTGCATGCTAGTGAGGGAACTCAAGTGCCATTCTTTATACTAAAGAATAAAAAGGCACAATACTGTGACTGGAACAATACACAAATAACCCACACATTGGAGAAAGAAACTCATGATGAGTTAATGGTTCTTCTTCTTCTTGATGATTTGCCGGTACTTCCAGCCCGGGTCTTCTCCAGATGGTGACCCGGCGGTGGCCCCCAGGGCGGGGGTGTCGTTCATCTTCTTCATTCTTCTATCTTCTCTCTTGGGCCCTCCAGTTGGAGGGTAACTTCTTCTTCTATCTTGCATTGACTCCCCAAGTGGGAAGTGTCTTCGTGCTTGGCATCTTCAGTGTCACAGTCGGGCAGAGGCAGAAATCAGGGTTCATTGGTGTGTAACTAGTTAATGGTGTGTGACTAGTTAATGGTCTGTGACTGGTTAATGGTGTGTGACTGGTTAATGGTATTTGACTGGTTAATGGTTCAAGTTGGACTGAATGTCATCTAAACTTTCTTTCTCTTATGTGCAGGTTATCTGTGCATTGTATTCTGTAATCCAGTTTATATGTTAGAAATTACAGTTGTTTTTTCATGAAGTTAAAAATCTTACAATAAATTTAGCTTTGATTTCAGATATAACTTTTTTAAAATGTTATTGTGGGTATGATAAGACTATTGATGAATATACATTATGGATGATAGAGGAAATTCCCTGGTTCTGCTCTGTACTAATATATCCCCTCATAAGCAACACTTAGGAGTGAGACTGATTCAGTTTTTTAGGTTTCCTGGGTTTAAAACACTGAAAAAACATGAGGTCCCTTAATATTAACCTAATTCCCTAAGTAGCATATATAGTAGGAAATTTTATTTTTGTGTTAACACAAACATTGAGTTAGGTTGATCTGATAATGACTCCAGAGCTTTTGTGATATAGATACTGTGGTATCTTTATGTTGCATCCCTCTCTCCAGCAACCAACCTGGTATAAGTCAGTGTTCTTACATGTAATTATGTGCCTCAATTTTTTTTTCTATGATTATCATAGCAGTGTATTTTTAGTTAGTATACGGTACACCTGTCTAACGACACACTTTCAACTACAGTGGAACCTCAAAAATCGAACTGCTCCCAACTCAATCAATTATGTAAGTGTATTTTTGTAAGTACTTTTATAAGTGTATTTTTGAGGGTCTTAAATGGTCTAATCTAATTTACATTATTCCTGATGGGAATAAATTCGTTCGGTAGTGGCACTCGAACAGCCTTCTGGACCGAAGAAAGTTCGATACTTGAGGTTCCACTGTACTTGCGAATATCTGAATGTATTCATGTCTTCCTGCTTGATTGTCTCTGTACTTCACTCTTCCTGTTCCCCTCGACTTAATCTGCTCTATCCTTTTCATAAAAATACTTTCACTTGTGCAGCCTTGATGTGTTGGTTTTGCCTGTCTACTTTTCCTTTTATTTGCCTTCATACTTTGGCAGTTTTTTCGTTGTCTCTTTTTTTTTTCATCTCAAAAATACTTATGACACTCCCTGGTGTTAAAGTATCTTAGCCTAAGCCCATGTCTTAGTTCTCTGAGGCAATTTGTTACTTTTCCTCAGAGATTTCTTATCAGAGAGGCACTTCTGTGTTTGGGTAAATAATAGTTTACCCCTGACTTTGTCCAGTTTGAAGGCATCCCTCAAGGCTGTGTTCTTAGCATAACCCACTGCCTTGTTTCTATTAATGACTTTGCCTCTGTTCTTCCTTCTAGTGTTTGGTCATTTTTCTATGTCAATGTTTTTGTTGTAGCTTGTAAAAGCAATTGATTGTCTTTCCAACTGGACCACCTCTCATGGATTTAAATTTTGTTGCTAAAATACACCAGATAACTTTCACAATACTTCTTTTTATCCCTCATACCAGTCTATACCTATTTAGTTCCTTTATCCCTGAACAAGATACAGTCAAATTTCTCAACCTTTTGTTTGATCATAAAGTGTCTTGGAAGCCTCACATAACCTTCCTGCAAGCTGTTTATTATAGCCACCTGAATCTCCTTAAAACTCTGGTCTATCTTTCATTGGGGGCTGATAAACAAACTCTTTTTTTGCCATCATTCAGCCCTCATTTTATCTAAATTACCATAGACTGTGGCAGTCAACTATATTCTTCAGCCTCCCCACTAGTCTTTCTAAATTTGATCCCATTCATCATCAGGGGCATATTTGTATCTAGGAGCTTTTCAGTCTTTCATGGTCGAGAGCCTATATACAAAGACGAATGCTCCATCTTTGAAAAATCGACACTATGCCCTCTGTCTCAGTTATTTGGTCTGCTTCCATGACCTTCACAATCCTTCCACATATAGAATGATAATGGATGTTAGGGCTGATTTGGTTCATGGAATTGTAATAACATAATTGCAAATAAATCACAGAACAGGTGGGGCTTGAATATATTTCAAGTATGCTAACCAGTGGTTATCACACAAACCTGTGAGTTTTAACCCTTTGACTGTTTCAGGCCCCTCTCTGAAACTGTCATTCTATGTCGCTCAATTTTTGAAAAAAAAAAAAATTATTTTTTCTTATGAAATGATAGAGAATCTTTTCCCGATGGTGATGACACCAAAAGTTCGAAATTTGGTCGAAAACTCGTGGAATTATGCTCCCGCGAAGTTAGCGGTCTCGGCGACATATGCGTATCGGCGATTTCGCCGACTTTGAGCCCAATTTTCAGCCAATTCCATTGTTCCAGTTGACCAAACTCATAGCTATTTCTTTAGAACTCCATTTTATCTATCAGCTGAGTACAAGAAACCTCCCATTTACTAATTTGGACTACCCAATATGGTGGTCAGAAATTGGCAATTTGGCCAATTTCACGCAAAATAAAAAAGATGCCAATTTCAAAATAGGGTCCAGAATAAACAAGGTAGACATTTGTGGCACTAAAATAACATATGCTCTGTTCATTAGTCACATCTCTAGGCCCCTCTTATATTATTATTGCTTTCTATTTTGATTTTTTATTCATACAAAAAAATACAAAATTTACTGTTATGCAGACGACTGCATTATTGTAAAAATGGTATAAATATATCAGTGCACTAGTGAAAGAATATTAGACTCCCCAGTTGACGTGTATTGGACGTGTGGTGTGATTTATGTACTCTTGAACATTGGTAAAAATCGAACATTTCTGCTACTTTGAGCTCAGTTTCAAGGTCGTTTTCATCGTAAAAGTAATGAAAATCATCTCTATTTCTGTAATATGTTTTCCATTTTATCACCTAAGACCATGAAAACGCGAATACAACGATAAATACTATACGAAAATACACCTCAAAGTCGGCGTTTTATTCCAAAAAAACGATCAGAGTTTTTTTTTTCTCATTACGCAATGTGTGCTGCAGGATTTTTTTTATGTGGTGCACACTGACCACACAGACCCATTCTCTCACATGTGGGCCTACCAGCTTTCTCCCACTTGATTTGAAGCCGCTAGAATTATTGAGTATATATACGTCAGAAACATTGGCTCGTAAGACGTATTTATACGTCGAAAACAGTCAAAGGGTTAAAACTCTCTTGCCATGGGTTTAAATCCCACCCATTCTGTGAGAGAAGTGAATTGATTAATTGTTGCCTCCTCATTTATTACACCTCTCCATTCTGTGATAGGGCTGATTTGTTTAATTGTTGCCCCTATTTATTATGTGTCTTACCTCTCCAGCTTCCCTCTCTGTTGCCTTCCCTTCATTTATCTTCCTTTATGTTCACCCTGCATCTTACTTTTTCCCTCTCTCCCTCCTTGGAAGGTTCTGATGACTCATGTTTGCTCCTCCCCACTTCCATGCACATAAGCTCACTTTCCTGTTACAACTTTACACTCACTTTTTGTTGAACACTTCTAGTCTCATTCTCATGCTATTGCAGTGTACATTGATGATTCTAAATCCCCTGATAAGGCTTAATTGCTTTTTAAACAGTATTTCTTTTATCTGGAATCTTTATTGTTGTATTTTCTTAAACTTTTGTTTTGTCAGTTTGTCTAACTATGAACACCTTACTGCAATTTCATATTCTACTTCAGCTATAACATATATTACAAATAAATTCTTAAGCATTTTGTCATCCATGCCTAAATTTTCCTTAATGTTACATTTATGTGGTCTTCTGATGTTAATCTGTTAAATACAATTACTGCAAGGTCTTATTTCTCCAGTGATTTTATCATTGTTTATATTCTACGTGAGGTCTATTTCTAATTTTATCTTTTATTTTTTAGTTACTTTGAAAGTTTTAATATTAAATTCCATCAAAGATGGAAAAGCTGTTTTCATGACAATTCTGCATTGACACACTACCTTGTTACTACATTATGGAGCTGATTCATGAAACAGATCAACAATGACAAGTTCAGGAATCAAGGTTAGTAGCATTGTCAAAATGAGGAGCTTCCACGTAATAATGTCTGATAGTTGCTCCAATATTTATTTTATGTTTAATACACAAGATGACTCTCCTAATAGAATTTCAAATTCAACTTACCTTAGAACCTGGAATCTTGTACCCTACTGTTATAGTCAAGACAGAAATTGAAATTACTAATAAAAGCCAAAAATTGTGGCAAATTCTAATTTCTGACTTCATATGTACATTTCATTTGTTTATCTTGTGGAAGCAAAGTAATGTAAATGCATGCTGCTCAGAAAAAAAAAAAAATACAAATTTCTTAATATGACAGTGGTCAGTACTAGTGATAGATAAAGGTTGAGAAATTACATGTGGCAGTGCTTCATACAGGTTGCTGTTTCAGGGTGCCAGGGAATGCCCGGATTTCTTGTATTTATTATTTCCCAGACACTTTTATTAGACCTCACCTTTCATTACAATATAGTAACTAAAATACAACATGACTACGTTAGTGTACACGAGCTATGTTTAGTCGTGTTAAGGGTAATTTTCATTAAGCTGAAGTTGTGTGCAAAATAATGGAATGGATGTTGAATGCTTGTACTTGTTAGCAAGAGAAAAGTACAGTTTGATGCTGTATTCTTAAGTGACAAATGGAAAGTAAAGTAAAATTTGGAATATCATTTAGGTTCATTTTATTAACTGTTAAGTGATAATGCTTGGAGGCTCTTTAAATACCTTTCAGACATTACAGACCATCTCATTACAAGCAAAATTGGATAAATCCTCATTCTTGCATATCATGAATATAAGATATTATATATAGTACTTATTTTTTTGTGTTCTATACAATCAATAATAGTTAAATATTATACTAGTTTAATTTGTTCTAATAATGAGTTGTTGGATTATTGCAGTCAATATGTTACTAGATTGATGTTTTTTAATTATATATGTGAATGTGTTTTCTTCTTTGGGTCACTGCTTTGACAGGAGACAGCCATTGAGTTAAATAAAACAATGAGACAGTGTTATTTATTGTTGATGCAATAACTGGAAATGTTCTAGTGATTGTTGTTCATATAAAATAGTATATAATGTAGATCTAATGTAGATGTTTGGCAGTGAGAGATTATATAAATAGAAATAGTGAATAATTATAAGTATTGTAGATGCAAGAGTGTGTGTGTGTGTGTGAGTGTGATATAAATGAAGACATCGGTAAGAGTTAATATCTAAGAGAATTGTTAATGAGTGTAAATGAGAAATTATTATTGAGACATAACCCCTGGAGTCATAAAGACTACATCTAATTTATCCCAAAAAGTGGATAGAAACACTAAGATCATGCAAAGAAGCTAAATGTGATACACAAATATGTACTGATTGTTTGAAATATTTAAGTGTTATGAATGGCAGTACTGTATCAAGTACATTTAGAATACGCATATTCTACAGTATAATACAATGGGGTGAATATACATTAAGAAATGTTTATAACTTCTCAGGACTTAATTACATTTTCTTTACAATGAAGTATAGCTTTTTTGAGCAATATCGCATTACAGTATTTTATCTTGTTTATTTGGAAATCCATTCCCACTAAAGAAGAGTATTGTTAATGTCCAAGGGTCACTACAGTGGTATTGCTGAGGTGTTAATGGGTAACTGGATACTTGATATCTTGTTGTATTTGTGCTACAATGGTTCATTGATTGCGATAATAGTACAGTGTGTAGAATTTTTTGTTAGTAAAGATGTATATACAGTATACTGTATATTCATAATTTTCTTTATGTCATTAAGTTCATTTTTAATGTTAGATGTTGTATGTAAAGTACATGCATTATATTTAGAATTAAATGTACAGTGGACCCCCGGATAACGATCAGCTCCCAACTCGACCAATTATGTAAGTTTATTTTTGTAAGTGCTGTTGTAGGTGTATTTTTAGGGGTCTGAAATGGACTAATCTAATTCACAATATTTCTTATGGGAACAAATTCAGTCTATAACGGCACCCAAACAGACTTCTGGATTGAAATAATATCGTTATGCGGGGGTCCACTGTATTGTGTTTTCAGAAGCATTGTTTGTCAAACATAAACAGAATGTCGAGTGTGTTTTATGCTCTGTGAAAACTGAGTTCAGTTTACCATATTTTCCTGTACATTATTATAAATTTAAAGAAACTGCATAACTTAGATTAGTAGAAACTCTTGTGTTAATAAAATTTCATGCTGTCATTAATTTCCTCACCATGGTATACAGGTGAACATATACTTGTATATCAAATAATTAATTGTTGGATATCAGAGCACTTACTGTACCTACTTGTGTCACTTACTAGATATGAGAAAGTGATGAGCAGAAGTCACCTTATGTTGTATTCCACCACTAGTAAGGTCTTCCTCACTATATACTTGTGCATGTTATTATTTGTTAATTTTCTTCGATCTGTTACGTGCTTAGTTAGTCGTGGTATTAAATTCTAGTTTCTTTATATATTTTAGCATAAGAGGGACAGTGTTCAGTTATAGTTTCATCAGCCAGAATCTCATAAAGAAGTTGGATCCTATAAAAAACTACTCTAAAGACAAAATACAAGCATTTTAAATACAGTGGACCCCTGAGTTTCGGGATTACTCTGTTCCAGAGAGTCTGCTGAAAGTCGAAATTCACGAAACTCGAAACCATTTTCCCCATAAGAAATAATGTAAATCCAATTAATCCGTTCCAGACACCCGAAAGTATAAACAAAAATTATTGTTTTTATGGATTAAATAAAGATTTACATATAGAAAAGAATGAGAAATCAAGTATAAAACAATAATAACATCACACTTACCTTTATTGAAGATTCTTGTTGGTGTATGGAACATAAGAGAGCAGGAACACTGTAGCAGACCTGTTGGCCTATACTAGGCAAGTCCTTCACAAAACATCCCACTAAGAGAATATTTGCCCAACCAAATTTTCAATACTCCCCAAGCAATAAGTTTTGATAATTCTATTCACTCATGTGCAAGTCCAATTCAAATTGAATCATGTGTGTGAGGATGTACCCTGGCTGGTTTGTGTGGGGAAGTACCCTGGCTGGTGTGTGGGCCAACCCAATTTTCAATGCTCCCCAAGCAATAAGCTTTGATAATTCTATTCACTCATGCACAAGTCTCACTCAGATCAAATTGTGTGTGTGGGGAAGTACCCTGGCTGGTTTGTGTGGGGATGTACCTAGGCTGGTTTGTGGGGAAGTACCCAGGCTGGTGTGTGGGGAAGTATCCTGGCTGGTGTGGGGAAGTACCCTGGCTGATGTGTTCTTTCTTGAATTCTGTTGTGTTTCTCACCTTCTTTACCAAAGGGCTGGCACTAGGAGCTTTCTTTTGGCCCATGGTGGCTTATTTAGCAGTTGCAAGCAAAAAAACAATGGATTATTATGAAATGTATCGTATGAATGTGTGGGATGATAGTCACTTGCCCAGAAACAATGCCACACTGACTCTGAATGGTGTGTGGAAGCCTTTGTGTACACCCGGTCACTGGGAGACAGCATTTTGTATGGATGAATCGCAAGGCAAATCACGAAATGCGAGGCTATATTTTGATGAAAAAAGTAGCCAAAAGTCAAAATTCACGAAGCATAAGGCTCATGAAACTCGGGGATCCACTGTATTGGAGTTTTACCTTTCATTTTGTGCATATTATCTTATAATCTTCAAGTTATCCTATACAGTGGAACCTCTACTTATGAGTGCATCCAAAATTTCCAGATGCAAGTGGGCTTCAAGGGAGGTTAATTGACACTGGTGAGGGGACTCTTGCTCTTGTTCTAGGGAATTGGATCTCAGTTGTTTGTTGGACTATCTTATTGAAACTTGGGCAATGTTTGATGAAAAGTTGCTTCTTGACGTACATCAAAAATGAAAGAAATCGAACCATAAATAATGGAGTTCACTTCTCAGCCATTAGCCTCCCCTTAGCGGTATATTTTCGTGAAGAGGTTTTACGAGGATAGTGAGGCTCAAGTTAGAGTATGTAGGAAACAGGGAAATTATTTCCCAGTAAAAGTAGGCCTTAGACAAGGATGTGTGATGTCACCGTGGTTGTTTAATATATTTATAGATGGGGTTGTAAGAGAAGTAAATGCGAGGGTCTTGGCAAGAGGCGTGGAGTTAAAAGATAAAGAATCACACATAAAGTGGGAGTTGTCACAGTTGCTCTTTGCTGATGACACTGTGCTCTTGGGAGATTCTGAAGAGAAGTTCCAGAGATTGGTGGATGAATTTGGTAGGGTATGCAAAGGAAGAAAATTAGAAGTGAATACAGGAAAGAGTAAGGTTATGAGGATAACAAAAAGATTAGGTGATGAAAGATTGGATATGAGATTGGAGGGAGAGAGTATGGAGGAGGTGAATGTATTCAGATATTTGGGAGTGGACGTGTCAGTGGATGGGTCTATGAAAGATGAGGTGAATCATAGAATTGATGAGGGGAAAAGGGTGAGTGGTGCACTTAGGAGTCTGTGGAGACAAAGAACTTTGTCCTTGGAGGCAAAGAGGGGAATGTATGAGAGTATAGTTTTACCAATGCTCTTATATGGGTGTGAAGCATGGGTGATGAATGTTGCAGCGAGGAGAAGGCTGGAGGCAGTGGAGATGTCATGGCTGAGGGCAATGTGTGGTGTGAATATAATGCAGAGAATTCGTAGTTTGGAAGTTAGGAGGAGGTGCGGGATTACCAAAACTGTTGTCCAGAGGGCCGAGGAAGGGTTGTTGAGGTGGTTCGGACATGTAGAGAGAATGGAGCGAAACTTCCAGCAGGCATGCGTGAGCGTGTTTGATAGGAGTGAATGGAGACAAATGGTTTTTAATACTTGACGTGCTGTTGGAGTGTGAGCACAGTAACATTTATGAAGGGGTTCAGGGAAACCGGCAGGCCGGACTTGAGTCCTGGAGATGGGAAGTACAGTGCCTGCACTCTGAAGGAGGGGTGTTAATGTTGCAGTTTAAAAACTGTAGTGTAAAGCACCCTTCTGGCAAGACAGTGATGGAGTGAATGATGGTGAAAGTTTTTCTTTTTCGGGCCACCCTGCCTTGGTGGGAATCGGCCACTGTGATAATAATAAAAAATAATTTTATGGTTGTATTCTCGTTTTATTTGGTCTCATGTGATAGAATGGAAGATATGCTACAAAAATAAATATGATTTTAATTGGTTTCACGATGAAAAGTACCTTGAAATTGAGCTCAAAATATCAGAAATGTTTGATTCTTTGGCGACATCAGTGGTAGATATCATGAGGTAGCAGTGGCAGACAACATGAAGCAGCAGTGGCAGACATCAT